GTATACAATTAATAATATTTAAGTCATTTTTTGTGTTAATTTTTAAACATAGGATGATATATACACATTTTTTGTAATTTTATAAATTCTGCTTTACTTGGTAAGCAAGTCACTAATTTCATGCCAAGAATGGTATAAAAATAGATGGTAATAGTGCTTCTAATCATTCTAAACTATCTAAAGCGCTATTTTGTTCAAAGCCTTTTGCTTCACTCAAGGCTCTAGATTTGCTTTGATTAGCAAAACTTTCTTTTGTTCCACAATTCAGAGTTCAATTCAACTCGAGAACAAAGAGGTAATGTTTATCTAACTTCTTATAGAATTTTCCTGCTAATCATATAATTTATTAGTGTTAATGATTGTGATTGATTTGATGATAGAGTTAATTATTAATCATGTTAGAGCTTTCCAAATGTTATGATTAGTGAAACCGACTTCTAGAAATGAAAAGATAGTAGTTGTACTTAAAATAGGAAAAGAGATTAAATAATAACATAATTGGCATATTAGTTTGATTGAGATTGCTATGCTGGGAAATGTTTACATCATTTTACTTGTAAAAGAAATTTCACTTGTGTACAAATTATATTCCATTTCAAGAATAGGCTCCTGCAAGCATGGATAAACCTACAGTATTGTATCTTTATTCATTCCTACTTTTGAACATGAAAATTAATTTCCAACGTAAAAACTTCATTCTCAAAACGAAAATGATGTGCATGCTAAATATTGTGGGGTCCGAACATATTTATTAATTTTTTATAATTAAAAATATCTAGTTAATTTAATTAAAATTAAAAACTAAGAGTTATTTTTAAAAAGTTAAAATAAACGCCCTAAATACGTGTTATAATTTGTAATGAATTTTATGTTTTTATTCTTATTATGTGCTTATCATGTGCTTTCTTAACTTAAAAGATAAAGAAAATTTGATTCACCGACACATTAAAAAGGCAATTTACTCCTTCTAAATGTTAATTAATTAATTTCATTAGATCAAGTTTATCCAAAAAAAGACAAAAAACAAAAAACAGTGGTTTGCACCGACTTCAGAAAAATATCCATCCTTAAATCTTGTTTTTTTTTTTTTATTATTAATTTCCGTATCCAGAAATAATATAGGACTCGACTAATTAAAAGTCTGAGTCTAGATAAATCAAATCTTGATTATTTTTTATTTATAAAATTTAAACTTAAAATTTTATTTAAAAATAAATAAATTTATTCCACTTAAATAAAAAATGGATAGTATCCTTAAATCTTGTTAGTACAGTATTTTCTTAGCCTTTTCTGCAGAGACCGTTACCCTTACCCTTTGCTTTCCGCGTTAAAACTGTAAAGAAGATAAAGAAAAACCCGTGATATTGCTTCCCGCGTTTTCCATCTGCCAAGTCCCCGAACCAAATCCCAATTTTTGTTTCTTATGCGTGCAAGCTATTCTCATTTCTCTACCTCTTAATTAAACCCTCATTTTCATCGCCTTTTAAATTCTCTTTCAAAGCTTCAATCTCTTCATTTTCATCACATTCTCTTTTTATTCCTAAAATACTCGATTTATCATTTATAAGGTTTCTGTAAATTTGCTAAGTTGAGTTCGATTCGTGTAGATCTGAGAAAGAAATGGGAGGTCATATGAGCAAGAAGACAACTGAAGCATCTCAGGGGGCGGCGGCGGCAGCGGCGATAAATCTCGGTGGAGATTTGCAGTATAAGAATGAATTGAGCTCGTATGAAGCGGCGTGTAAGCTTGATACCGATCTGCAGACTTTTGATACGACTCTGCAGGCTAAGACTAGTCGCGTGATCAACACGCTGGCGGTTGGTGTGGAGGTCCGGGCGCTTTCGTTTGATTCTTTGAAGGAGGTGACGGGTTGTCTTCTAGAGATGAACCAGGAGGTGGTGAAGGTGATCTTGGAGTGCAAGAAAGATATATGGAAGAATCAGGAGCTGTTCGAGCTGGTGGAGGAGTACTTCGAGAATAGTTTGCAGACTCTGGATTTCTGTACGGCGTTGGAGAAGTGTCTGAAGCGCGCTCGCGACAGTCAGTTGCTGATCCTCGTCGCGCTGCAGCAGTTTGAGAAAGAAACGGAGATCGGAGGGAGTCAGTATGTCAGGACGCTGGAGGAGCTGAAGAATTTCAAGGCAGCAGGGGATCCATTTACAGAGGAGTTCTTCCAGATCTTTCAATCTGTGTCCAGGCAGCAGATTCTGATGTTGGAGAAGTTGCAGTTTCGAAAGAACAAGTTGGATAAGAAGCTCAAGTACATCCATGCGTGGAGGAAGGTTTCGAATATGATTTTCGTGGCTTCTTTCGCTGCGTTGTTGATTTGCTCTGTTGTGGCGGCTGCCATGGCTGCTCCACCAGTGGCTGCCGCTCTTGCCGCTGCGACTTCCATTCCGGTTGGTTCGATGGGGAAATGGATTGATTCTCTCTGGAAAAACTATGAAAATGCATTGAAAGGGCAGAAGGAGATGATCAGCTCAATGCAGGCAGGGACTTATGTCGCCATTAAGGATCTGGATAGCATCCGGGTGCTGATTGATCGGCTGGAGATTGACATAGAAGCTATGTTGCAGACTGCGGATTTTGCAATCGAGGAAGAAGCGGTGAAGATCGCGATAGAAGAGATTAAGAAGAAGCTGGGAGTGTTTATGAAGAATGTGGAGGATTTGGGGGCACAGGCTGATCTCTGCAGCCGCGACATCAGGCGGGCAAGGACTGTGGTTCTGCAGAGAATCATAAAACAACCAAACAACTGAGCAATCAAAGAAACCTCCATGGATGACTGCTGCTAACCTCTGACAACTTACCAGCCCCATGCCATGGCCTTGACGATGATGAAGAAGATGACTGACAAAACATTCCTCAGATCCAACATTCTTAATTGTAGAAATCATGCTCGGATTCATGTTCCAAAGAAATAATTTAAGTTTCCCTTTTTTAATGAATTTTATTCATGTTCTTTGTTTCCAAGTCACATACTCTTCCATTTTTTCATTTTGAAATGTTCATTGTAAGAATTGTAATAAGTGAAACTCTTTATCAATTAATGAAATTTTTTTTTTTTTCATTCAAAAGCTTGTTTCTTATTTTTGGGCTATTCATAACTGGATATAAGATCATGCCTGTTCTGATACTAAAGGAATGAAATCCGAATCATCAAAATCCACCTGAGATTTATCTGGATTCGATTTCATCTCCTCAGAAAAAACACAGGTTTCGAGCTTTGAAAAAAAACAGAAGAAATTGTCTAGGCAAGACTCTTCAATTTAGAACTGAAAATTGTAACTTGATACGATTATACAATAGTCACGAGCAGCATAACCAAATTCGCAACATTCTGCAACTCTTTATTTCTGATAATATACAATAAGATGAACCATCATTGCTCTTCTTAGATTACATACACATATAGCATGGAGATGTAACTAGATGACAGGCATACCGACATGGCTCAAAAAAGCAACATCAGAAGATTGTGTATGCAGCAAGTGATTTGTGGTGCTGCTTAACGTTGAAAAGTTGTCAAAACTGCCTGTTTCTGCGGAAGATTGTGGTTACAGGCAAGCTTTTCGAAAGCCAAGGAATGGTATGGGACGGATGTTGAAATATGATGCTGAAGTCAGAAAGGCACAAGCTAGAGATACGTAAATTTTAAACCAGACGGATGAAAAACATGTGAAAAAAGTACAGGTGCTTGTCAAGATGAGTATTGCTATAGAGTTTAGAAGACACTTCACCGTTGAGAGGTGTGCTTCTGTTCCTTGCTGAGGGAAGTTGCCTTCAGAATAAAACTTAGAAAGCAGTTCATCTTTAAGACGAAAAGTATCCATCAGCCAAGTAGTAACCTCCCTTTCGGGTGTTGGGATGTCATCAAGTGTAACTCTTCGGATGTGAATATGAACTTCAGAAGGATCCACTCCAAATACATTGTCCAAGAATGATGGACAGCGATGCTTATACCCAATGGTCACATCGTAAACTGCACAAAAGTTAAGTGAAAATGGATCATCAAAAGAGAAAAAAAAAGTAGCCCAAGAATTACGCAAGAGATGAGAATTAAAGTACTATTGTTTTGGATCTCTTCTAGTGACAAGAATCAAGATCAACCAACTAAAATGTTTTAGATGAGATAGTTGAGGGAGGAACCACTTTAGTTGTTGATTTTATATGTTACTACAGATTATATATGCGCAACAATACACAATAGATAACAGGATAATATGGCTCATCACTGGTCCAACTGTGTCTGAGGGGACGCTCCAGAAACAGCTTCTTGAATTTCTAATTAAAGAAATTCACCACTACGGTGGAAAGCAGGAACTTTATTACACTGCGAGAGGTTAGATCAATAAGTAGGCTTGTACAATTTGTATAAAATTTTCTAGGTGTCTAGGCACGTGACATTTGACAGGCTAAAATTTAAACAGGAAGGAGGGAAAATGAGGAAGAGACCCAAACTGATGAGCAACTTATTTTCTCATGTTTTTGCTGGTGCCACTGACTTCCTCTTTGACATCATAGACTAGGTCACATGGTCATAGAAAAGCACGATCTTACAAAAGACACAGTGGTCACTTTGCTGAGGTTCATTGATGAAATGAACCAAAAATGGCATCAAAATTTGAATTAGTGGTTATGAACACCCCCCTGGTGCCCTCCCAGGTCTGGACACAACAGACACATACCTTTCCCCCTTCAATGAGTTTATAACCAGGTCCCTCATATTGCTAAGTCCTTCTGACTAAGAGGATGAATACAGTTATTCCAGAGGATAAAAAGAACTTGTATGTTGCTGGTCACTGTTTGGGAGAAAAATCCCATTATGCATATGATTTTATTCAACTCTTTACATGCCTAATATTGGAGGTGACAATTTAAAATTAGAAAATGGATTAAAAGTAGCTCTACGTTAGGTAAACCATTTTAGGAAGCACATGAGCATGGAATAAGAAAAACAAACCTGCATCCAAAGAGCCCCTCAATTCTTCTATGCAAGCACAAAAGCCCTTTGACTTTGGAAGTAACACATTTTTCAGGATGGGTAAGCCATTTTCAGCAGCATACTTTTGGCTTCTTATGCACTTCTGTTCACTGCATTGAAGGAGAAATTGGAGAGTTAATGGATTAATACATTGGTCATGAGACAACATATAAAAATTCATTATGGACCATGGAATAGTGTAGAAAGGAAGTCTGTAAGATTCCATATTCTAAAAATCCAATAATGAATTTCTCTTCACACCATATTGTTCACATAACATACTACTGAGGGAAGAGAGCTCAAGAGAAATGGGAATTACGTGAAATCAGTGCCTTCTGGGAAAAGAACAAGCCAAAGGGGATCCAGAGGATCTTTAAAAGTTGAAAGCACACGGCGCATGTTTTGTTCATCAACCTCCCACCTCCGCTCCACAGGGATAAATTCCAAAATATAGAACCCCCAACCAAATACAGGTAATTTCATCAAGCTGCTCTTAAGAATATACTTTATGTATCCTAAACAACCTTTCCGCAATGCAAGGTCCCACAAATACATCCAGTCAACCTCAGTTCTGTGGTTAGAGATGAGTAAGACACGTTCCCTTTCAGGAACAGTATCTCCTGAAAAAATGACTTCAGTTTTGTTTATTTTTTCAAATAGAAAAGGCCACAATGATAGCCAAGCACCAAAGAAGAAAGAGGTTGCTTTCCGACTGTAGTGTATGCTAAAAAGTCGCAATATGATAGCACTTGGAAAGCCACAAAAGAGTATCATCATAAAAGCTGTTAAAAGCAGTACCAGCAAACATATAGTACCCCTAAACACCCTTAGAGGGGTCAATGCATTCATTCTATGATTCAAACTAGTGCCCCAGGAATGTACTCCTAGCTTTGTTTGATTCCAACCTTCAGGTCAAAGGAAGCAACACAGCTTCACTTAGATGAATTCCCTGCTTGCGAAGTTGCTTACAGGAAGCTAGGCCTAACAGAACTTAAGAGAATGAATAGCCACAACAACTCTCTCTCGCCTATCAAAGGAGAATAATTCTTAGTTTCATTTTCCAAATAAATTTAGGGAAACCTAGATGTGATTTGCAAAGACCAATGATGTCTAAAGCCCTGCAGAAAGAGAATCAGGAGGAAGCTCAGTGAAGTGAACATCAACGCTACAAGTAAAGTAAGGTTCATCAGCATTATTTACATGAAGACAAAGCAGAACTTTAACATCAATGCTACAGGTAAAGTAAGAAACATGCTCCATCATCACTTACAAGAAAAATAATACCCAATTTAGGAAACCATTGCAATACTTCTAAAGCAAATCAATAACAGAAACTTAGTCCATTGCAGCATCATCAAGCATTAAATCAACATGTATTGGAAATATTAGTAAAAAGTGGGCTTCAAGCCTTCACCATGATGCCTGATATTCTAAGAAAAGTCCTTCAGAAGGGGAATGCTTACAGCAATGAATATGAAGTTGGTATTGAGTAGGTTTAATCACAATTGGGTGTTAAACTATTTCAGAAAATATCCACTTCCCAAAGAAACCAACAAATGAAATCCACATTAAAAATTTAATTAGAATCTTGACTGTCCATTAAGCTAGTCTTCCATTCCATAAGCTCCCCTCAGCAAACCGCAGAGAATATCAACTTTGATTACATCCACATGGGACCACAAAAAGGAAAAAAAAAGGAAGACAAGTCAGAAGGTGATCTCCAATGTATTATTTATTGATCCATCATCATCATTCTTAAAGTTTGCTCAGTTTCTTTGATATATCTGATGATGGGTCATACAGCAAGGATAGCCCTCTTCTTTCCCAAAGCCCTCCCCACCCGTCTCAAGGTTCCAACTTGGTTCAACTGCATTGGGGACAATCTTTTTCAGTTCGTAGGCATACAAATAGCTAAATTGCTAAAATAAAAATAGGGATCTGGGTCAGATGATTATTTGAACCCCATGTAAATAAATGCAAATGTCGCCAAAGATGTGATTACTAAGTTCGAAAAGCTCATATCTTTAAGCTCAAGATGTAAGATTTAGTTGAAGGAACTCATCACACACTGCATTTGCTCGGCAACTAAACATCAAATTTAAATTAAATAAAAAACAAAATAAAAGAGGAAAAGAAGAAAGGCGAAAGAGTTACCTTAGGTTGCTGATCATGAAGGGTGGAAGAATCTGGTATCTTGCTATCTGCAAGCAAGGGAGCGAGAGTGTTTATGGAGGTGGAGATACTGGGAATTTGGGCCTGTAAAGTGCCTAAAATTACGAATTCCGACAGGGTGGTTTGTGTCTGGAAACAACGTTGTTCGTCTGAGGTTAAATGTTAATTTTAGTCCCTCAACTTTATAGAATTATATTTTTTGATCCCTTAACTATTTTTTTACACTTTTTTTATCCTCAACTTTAAAAACTACACAGTTTTGATACTTCCATCAGCTTGGACTGCTAACTTCGTTCATGTGGCATTTTTATTTTTATTTTTTATGACATGAAGAAGACAATCTAAAAAAGTGTTGATATAAACAAAATATTATACAATGTTATATTCACGCGAATCAAACCCGCCAAAACCCCTCAAATGGGTCTCACATTACTTGCGAAAAACCAATAAAATGGAAAAATGTCTGTGAACCCTAGAATGCTCTCTTATCTCCACTCCATCTGCAAAATCAATCTTAACCCACATCTTCTTCTTCTTTGAATGCTCTCTCATCTCCACTCCATCAAATTAACTCATCAACAAACAATGTCAATTAAACCTTAATCAAATTCTAACATAACTACAATAAAATATCAACAAATCAACTCCCAAAATTTGAAAATATCTACCGAGAATAAATACATCAGTCAGATAAAAAACTAAGAATGGAAGGCCAAAGAACAACTTAAATCTGCTAGGTTTGATTGAACCCACTTGCTGGGTTTCATCAAACCCAATCTACTGGGTTTGAGAGAACCCCATAGTTGGGTTCCATCGAACCTCAGTTGGATTCAACGAAACCCAAATTTGCTAGGTTTCATTGAACCTAGCAACTGGGTTTGGCTGAACCCAAATCTACTAGATTTGAGGGACCCAATAGCTAGATTCCATTGAACCCAAATCAGTTGAGTTCAAGGAACCTAGCCACAGGGAGAGGAAGAAAGAGACAAGGGTTCAAGGGACCCAGCAGTTGGGTTTCGTTGAACTCAAATCAGCTGGGTTGACAAACCCAACCACAAGAAGAGGAAGAAAGAGAGGAGGGTTCGAGAAACCTAGTCACAAGGAAAGGAAGAAAG